TTTTTCGCTACCACCAATCTGTGGGAACTCGCCGTTGTCCATGACCTTTTTTTTCTTTTTTCTTTTTTCTTCTTTTGTCTATGACCTTCAGAATGCACCACTGACCTCTTCCTCATCCAAAAAAAAAAAACAAAAAAAAAACGCCACTCACCTGACTTTGAAGGCAACGTTTGTGTCCTCTTTCAAACGACCCAATTTCTTTTTCTTTATGTTCCTTCCAATTTCCTTTCCCTTCTTTTTTCTTTTCTTTTTTTTCTCAACTCTTCAACGACCCAATCCAATTCCATTTTTCTTTCTTCTTCTTCTTCTTCTTCTTCTTCTTCTTCTTCTTCTTCTTCTTGTTGCATTGTGTGTGTGTGTGTTGGGGTGTGTGTGTGTGTGTGTGTTGGTGTGTGTGTGTGTGTGTGTGTGTGTGTGTGTGTGTGTGTGTGTGTGTGTGTGTTGTAGTGTGTGTGTTGGTGTGTGTGTTGGTGTGTGTGTTGGTGTGTGTTGGTATGTGTGTGTTGGTATGTGTGTGTGTGTGTATGTGAGAGAGAGAGAGAGAGATCTTCTCCTTCTTGCATTCTTCTTCTTCTTCTTGCATTCTTCTTCTTCTTCTCCATCTCCGTTCTTCTTCTTCTTCTTCTTCTTTTTCTTCTTCTTCTTCTTCTTCTTCTTCTTCTTTCGATCATGTTCATTGCGTGACAGTTACATTCAATATTTTGACATCCTGATAAGGTTTGTCTGTCCGATCTGTCTTGACCTTCTCTATGCCCTGCACGACATCCATGCCTTTGGTCACTCTTCCAAACACCGTATGCTTGTTGTCCAGCCAGGGCGTGGCTACGGTCGTGATAAAGAACTGGGAGCCGTTCGTGTTCGGTCCAGCATTAGCCATGGAGACTGTGAAAGGTCGATCATGACGGAGGCTCTTGTGGAACTCGTCTTCAAACTCCCCCCCCCAAACTGATTGCCCCCCGGTGCCATCCCCGAGGGGGTCTCCGGTCTGGATCATAAACCCTTTAATTACCCTATGAAAGATCAAGCCGTCGTAATACCCATTGCGGCTGTGAACGGTGAAGTTTTCAACCGTTCTAGGGCACTCCTCCGGGTAGAGCTTGATGACGATATCTCCGAGAGTGGTGTGGAGGACGGCATTCTCTGGGAGGGAGGTGGTTGCCGTCTTGGCTATGTCGGACAGTGCAAGGAGCTCCTCCGGCGGCGGCTTCTCGTTGAACACGTCCCTACCCTTCGATGCGTCCTCTGCCTCCTCTGGCTCTCTCCGGCTGAACAGGTACAGCCTGTGCTTCTTGAACGCGCAGCAAATTAGGGTTGGATCCACCACGGGCTCCTTGTTATCTGCCACGTTGGCGGCGCCCGTCGTCACACGCTTCAGCTTCTTCTTCGAGCCCTGGTAGAGCGCGATGCGCAGGAACCTCTCCGTGTTCTCCTGCTTGCCGATCACTCTCACGCAGCGATTGGTGTGCAGATTGACCACCTTGATGCCTAGGAGGGTGGGATAGAGGATGAAGTTGCTGCTCTCGTCGAAGACCGCGGTGGGCGCGGGGGCGCCCTCCTCCGCCGCCTTCTCGATCTCTCTCTCGACGGCCATCCGACGGCCGAAGTCGATGGCATCCAGCTTGAACATCTCCGCCTCGCTGCGCTGCAGATCCTGCGCCGCCTCCAAAGATTCGTCGTACGTTCGACGAAGTTTCCCCGTAGCGAACCAGAACACTCGCACTCTCCTGTCCGGGGACATGATCACGAACTGCCTGCCGTCGGGACTCACCTCCAGCGAGCTGACCGAGGTCCCGACCTTCGATAGCGTGTACAGATCCGTGTCCGTCTTGAACCTGAACTTCACGCTCGCCGTCGTGGGGAACTGACACGTAGCACCGGACCAGTACTCCAACGTGCCCTTTCCGTCGACGGAGATCACCACATCGTTGATCGGATTGTACCTCATCAGCAGCAGGGGGCCCCTGTGGATCGCGACCGTTCTCAGCGGTTGATTGCTTCCCGATCTTGCGTCGTAGATATGAATCTGGGCGGATTCCTTGTCGGATACCGCCAGTTTCGCCAGCGCCTCCCCCTGCCTGAAAATCCACTCCACCGCCCCCGGAATGAACTGCAGCCTGATCATCGCCATCATGTCGTAATTAATCACGTCGTAGATCTTGACAGCCTTGTCGTGGGAGATGGTAGCGCAGAGCAAGCCGTCGGCGCTCACGGCCAGCCCATCAATGGACCCGAGATGCGACCGGAAGTGTTTGACGAACTCGATCCCGACCGCCTTCTTCTTCCAAAACTTGAGGTGCCCGTCCCTGCTCCCCGTGATGAAGAAGTCCATCCCAGAAGCTGCCACGTGGCTCACGACATCGCGATGCATGTAACTCTTCTCGTACATCTCTGCGCAGGGAAGGGCGTCGAGAAACACCCGCTCAAACTCCAGAGGGTTCTTCTTCTTCTTCGGCTTGGGCAGGATTGGACCCACGACCTGACCCAAGCCATCGCCAAAATCGCCGTCTTCCCCTCCAGCGCCATCGGCGTCTTGTCCGCAATGGCCAGCAAGCT